ACATTTGCAGTGAATAAATAATGGTACTAAATTTTGTCTTGTGATCTCCAGCCTCATTCCTGCCATCATGTCCATATTTTCCAACTACCAGTCCTTCTTTGTTTCCAACTTTTGCATTCTGGTCACCAATTATTATTAATGCATTCTGATTGCATGTTCTGTCAATTTCAGATTGCAAAAGTTGGTTGTTATTGTTGTTAGTTGCTGTCAAGTTGAGTACAACTCATAGTGACCCTATGAACAAGAAATTTGAATCCCGTCCTATCCTGTGTCATCCTCACAATTCCTGACACTCTTGAGCCCACTGCTGCAGTAACTTTGTGAAACAATCTGGTTGAGGTCTTCCTCTCTTTCACTGACCTTCCATCTTTCCAAATATGACGTCCTTCCCCAAAGAAGAGCCTCTCCTACCACCATGCCCAAAGTATGTGAGATGATGTTTTGCTCCAATGAGAATTCTAGCTGCACCCTTTCCAATACATATTTGTTTGCTCTTTAGTCTACTGGATATTCAGTACTCATCTCTGACACCACAGCTCAAAGGCATCAATTCTTCCTGTCATCCTTATTCACTATTCACGTCTCAGAAGCATAGCAAGTGATAAAACCATGGTCTGGATTAGGGCACCTTTGTCCTCAAACTGACATCATTGCTCTTCAATTATTTGACGAGGTCCTTGACTACAGACTCACTCAGTGCAATACACACCTCCTGGTTTCCCGTCTGTTGCTACCAAGGGTGTTGATCATGGATCCAAGTAAGAAGAAATTGTTAATCTTTTCTCCATCTATTATGATGTTGTCTATTGGTCCAGTGGTAAGAATTTTTGTTTTCTTGACATTGAGACATGATCCAGATTGAAGCCTGTGTATTTGATCTTTTGCAGGAAGTACTTCAAGTCCTTGTCACTTTCAGCAAGCAAAGCTGTGTCATTAACACAGGTTATTGATGAGTCATCCTCTGGTCTTGATAACACATTCTTCTTCACAGAGTCCAGCTTCTTGAATAATTTGCTCAGCTTACAGACTGAGCAAAAGTTGATAGAAAGCCTCAATCTCGTAATTTTTTGTTTTAGTGTTTGAAGCATATATATGAATAAGAGTTGTGTTAACAGGTCTTCTTTGTATGTATATATAATAGTGTCCTGTCACTCATAACATTGTACTTCAGGATAGATGCTAAAATAGTCTTTTTTTACTCTGAACGTAACACTATTCTGCCCCCCCCCCAACATAACAGATCATTTGATTGTCTGATTCAAAGTGGCTACCAATATCGGTCCATCTCAGTTCACTAATGCCTGGGATGTTGATCTTTTATATATTCCATTTCATTTTTGACACCTTCTAACTTCCTAGATTCCGGTTTCTCACATTCCAGGCTTCAATTAATAATGGACACTTGCAGCTGCTTCTCTTCCCCCCTTTTTTTTAAAGTGTCTTCCAATTTGAGGGTTTTACTTCCTGTATTCTAACTAACATTTCTCTGTTATGCACAGGAGTTTTGTAACTCATTATTTCAGAAACGGATGGCCAATCATCTGGAAGCTCTGCTGAAACCTGTCCACCATGGGCAGCCCTGCTGGCATCTGACATACCAGTAGCATAGTTTCCAGCATCACAGCCACACCCAGTAAGGCAAACTGGCGGGCAAGTGCTATATGTGTAAGAGCAAACTATAAACAAGCAAGCAGACACATACACAAAGAAATGCAGTACCATAAAACTGGCTCTTTTCATCTGTGACCTCCAGGAGATGCTCTCCACCCATTAAGATTCTAAGAAAATAGCATTATACAACTATGATGCAATTTTCTTATAAATTAGCTTTAATGCTATAAAAGCTAGTTCATAGTTTATTTATTTACTTATTGCTATTGGAGTGAAAGTTTACAAAGTTAGTCAGTTTTCTATTCCGTCATCCATACATATTTTGTTTTATATTAATATATACAATATAACTAGTTTCCCCACTTCCTTCCTGTGATCCTCACTTCCATTATTGCTTCTAGTCTTCAAACACTGCCTTTCTGTCTGTATGTGGTTGGTTATTCTAAGGAGTGTGTGCCTCCCAGGTGTTACTAGTCTATTATTTGTCTGAATATTGAACCACAGGGTTGAGTTTCATTCCAAGTTCAAGGTGCAAGAGCTGCGATTCCTTCAGTCTCTTTCACACCAGTAATTCTGGCCCTTTGTTTGAGTTTTGCTTAACATCTCTCCCCTTCTATCCAGTATCTTCTATAACGGTATCTTGTGGAGTGAGCAGAGGTGGGCCACAGTTGTTCAGATCTCAGCAGGAGAGCTTCATAAAGTCCTCTATTTCTTTTGACTAATTATTTCTACAGATCATTGCTTTGCCTGATTTTTCTTTGTTCCAGACTGAGAGAGACCAACAGCTGCACCTTAGATAGCTGCTCAAACTGCCTTTAAATTGCTTCCAACTCATAATGACTTTCCATTGGGTTTCTGATATTGTAAATTGCAATGAGAGTAACTGTCCATCTTTCTCCCTCCAGAGCTGCTAGTGGACTCAAACTGTGGGAGTCTCATACCCTTTTGGTTAGCAGCGAGGGTCAGGGTCGCTACAGATTCTGCCACCCCAGCTTGTTAAGACCCCCCCCCCCATACTTACCACAGTAAGACGCAGAGCCTTGCCTTTGTGCAGTATGTTATGCCAACTGCCTTTGATGTTCCCTGAGAATCTAGGATTAGTAGTAACTCATCCCCTGAGGTTATTTGATCAGGATTAAGAAGTTTACACAGCTCTGTTGGCTCTGCTATACACAGGAACATACTTACAGTATATGCTAATGGGAAAAGTCAGTTAATTCGTCAAGGATTTCACTTTACTTGCATCCACAATGCACAGTCAAGGAAGCAGCAGTCAAGAAATCAAGTAAGTAAATCTCTGGTTGTTGGTGCATATATTTGAATGACAGTGGTATTAACAGGTCTTCCTTGTATGCGCATGGATATCATCTCATCCTCACAACACTGTATCTCAAGATGGATCTATAAATGGTCAATAGCATAGAAATAGTTTAGTCATCCATCCAATTTTGTGAAAGAAATGAATCAGGATTAAAGAAACAAATTAGCAGTCAGTCAGTTTAACACTCAGCCTCTAGACAATATTACTAAAATATTTCAGGAGAAAAAAAGACATTAATCTTCTTCCAGAAACCTATGAAAGAATGAAATCCACAACCTTCATTGGTATGGCCATAATTTTGTTGTTCGTATGCTATTTATTTCTTTACTCTATTGGAAGAAAGACACTAACTAAATCAAATGAGCACTACTCATTCCTTCTGTAATGATCTAAGTTCATCCTTGTTTTGTCCTCAGAGAACAAAACAGCTGCTGTGTCTGTTAGTGACGCAGGCACTTAGAAATACATACGGCTTTTCTTTCAACTCAATAAAGCAGAACTTTTAAGATTTTTTTTTTTAAAGATTTTTCAGCAAATGAGTCGCTAGGTGGGGCAAATTATTAAACATTTAAGGACTAGTTCAAATTCACTCAGAATTGAGTGAACCCCTGGGAAACAGGCCTGATAATCTGCTCTGCTTCTAAAAAAGTCACAGCCTAAATAAAATCTCTTATGAAGTCATTCTACTCAGAGTATTGCACAGTCACTGTGATTTGGAATCAACAGCAACTAACAAAAAAACCTCTATTATTTATGTGACTTTTAAATATCTATCTGAATCTATGAAACAACTCTTATCTACGTAGATAAGAGTTGATCCTTTTATAATTTCAGATACCTGAGCATACTTGGCAACCTGTACCTAACTTTGGTATTCTAATTAGAGACTAACTCAAACTCAGTGGCTCCTAAGTCCTTCAGCATTTACTACATCGGCAACTTCTGTACATTTGTTTCATTTAGGTATGCAAATATTCATTTCTTCCCACAGAATTAAATACCTGGCAAATCACATAAAACTGATTATCACTTGTTCCTGGAGCATAATATACATTAGTTTCCCTGTGGTATATTTATATGGAGAATTTCCAGAAAGGAAGTTAGCTGGATACTTACCCATGCCTCATGCTAATTCCTCCTCCAGTCCCAGTGACCCAGCCCCAGTGGTAAAACTGTTTGCAAAGCTCTGGGATTAAGCATCTTGGATGTTCTTTGTCCTGAAAAAGAAAGTAATACTTTAAAGTTATACATTATTTTATCAAGTGACTGTTTAACCTGACTTGTCCATGAAAAGACAAATGCAAGAAATTTAAGAAAATCTATCACCAGGGAGCTCTGGTGGCCTAGTGGCAAGGAGCTGCAACTACAACCCCAGAGGTGCACGGTTCGAATCCACCAGATGCTCTGCTGGGGAAGGAGGGACAATCTCCTCCTGTACCAGTCAGATCTGATATCTGATTTGATGGTACACTCACACAGAAAATAATAAAAACTAAAAAAAAAAAAGAAAATCTATCACCACATGGAAGAGAAGTTAGTGCGCTCTGGTGGCCTAGTGGTAAGAAGCTGTGCTGCCAACTCAAAGGCATGCAGTTTGAATCCACCAGCTCCTCTGAGGAGAAAAATATAGGCACTCTCCTCCTGTGGAATTTACTGGCCTCTGAAAACTGCTGGAAGGTTCCAACTCACCAGCACGTAACATCACAATCATAGCAACAGGGTATGATGGACAAAACTGACCTCTGTTAATATATGTTTTAAATGGCAGGCAATCATCTTACTACATTATTTAGCAATCTGGGACTATACAGTATAAGGCCAAATAGCCCAACACAACAGAATATGTAGCCATTGATGGTTGCAAGAACAAGGAGGAAAAACATTCAGTGTATACTGTCAAAAGTATACCCATCGCCACTGAGTTGATTCCTATTCATAGTAACCAGGAAATATTATTTGTTGTTGCTGTTAGGCACTACAATTCACAATAACGCTATGGACAGGTCTGAATCTTGCACTACCCAGAGCCATGCTCATAATTCCTGACATACTTGAGCCCATTAATACAGTCACTGTGGCAACGCATCTTGCTGAGGCTCTTCCCCTCTTCCTCTGGTACTCCACCTTTCCCAGCGTGATGCCAAACAAGCCCCTCCTGACAACATGCCCAAAGTGTGTGAGATGAAATCGCACCAATCTTGCCTCTAAGGAGTATCTTGATTGCATTTCTTGGAAGACAGACTTGTCTGTTCTTTTGGCAGGCCATGGGATAGTCAGTACCCTTCTATAACACCACAATTCAAAGGCATCTATTCTTCTTCAGTTATCCGTATTCACTGTCCAACGTGCTGTTGCACAGAAATAAATGAAAATACCATGGCTTGGATCAGAGGCACCTTAGTCTTTAAACTGACACCACTGCTCTTTAGCATTTTTGAGAGATCCTTGAGAGGAGATGTTCCAAATAGAGCATGGTTTTTGATTTCTTGACTGCTGTTATTATGGATGTTGACTGTGGATCCAATGTTGTTGTTCTGCACCATGGAGATAGAACGACTAATGGCAACCTAGTGCACAACGGCTGTGAACTCTGCTCTCTCCTGAGCCCCTCTCACTGTCTCTGACATACCTACCCCCATAACCACAGTTATTGTGTCAATCCATCTTATCCAGGGTCTTCCTTTCCTTCGCTGTCCTTCCACCCTTCTAAGAATGATGTTTTCCTCCAAGGACTGGTCCCTCCTGGCAACATGCCCAAAGTATGTGAAACGGAACGTCAAAATCCTTGCTTCTAATGAGCAACTTGATTTCACCTTCTCTAGGACAGATGTGTTTGTTCTCTTGGTAGTCCACAGTCTGTTTGATACTATTCTCCAGCACCACAACTCAAAGGCATCAATTCTCCTGTCATCTTTGGTCACTGTCCAACTCTCTGATGCAAACTGAGTAACTGCAAAGACTTTGGCCTAAAACAGGTGCACTTTAATTTCTCAACTGACATCGTTGCTCTTCAGCACTCTGGAGAGGTTCCTGACAGCAGATTTTCCTAAAGCAATTCATCCTCTGATTTCCTAACTGCTGGTGCCAGGAGTGTTGATTGTGGAGCTGAGCATGCTGAAATTGTTAGCAATCTCAATCTGTTGTTGTTAGGTGCCATTGAGTTAAGCATGACTCATAGTGACCCTATGAACAAAAGATCTGAGCCGTGTTCTCTCCTGCGCCATCCTCATACTTTCTGACACACAAGAGCCCATGGCAGCAGTCACTGAGTCAATCTACCTCATTGAGGGTCTTCCTCTCCTTTGCTAACAGTCCACCCTTTTCAGCATCATGTCCTTCTCCAAGGAACAGCACCTTCTAACAACATATCCAAAGTATTTGAGGTGAAGCTTCATCATTCTTGCCTCCAAAGAGCACTCCGGCTACACCCTCTCCAAGACATATCTGTTCGTTCTCTTGCAGTACATGGGATGTTCAGTGCTTTTCTCCAACATCACAGCCCAAAGGCATCAATTCTTTTTCTATCATCCTTTAGTCACCATCCAGCTCCCAGATGCACAGCAAGTAATCAGATTTTGTATGGCCTCAATCAGATGCATTGTAATCTTCAAACTGACATCACTACTCCTCAATAAAAGTGCTGAAGAAGAATGCTGAGTATCCTATGGACTGCTAAAAGAATAAACAGATATGTCATGGAGAAGGTGCAGCCCGTGTGCTACCTGGCAGCCAAGATGGTAAAGCTTTGTCTCAAATATGTCAAGCGTGTTGCTTGGAGAGGTTATTCCTTAGAGAGGGACACCACACTTGGGAAGGTGGAGGGATAGCAAAGGAGATGAGGACCCTCAACCAGGCGTGTTGGCACAATGACTGAAGCAAAGGGCTCAAGGGTGTCAGAGATTGTGAGGATGGCACAGGATAGGACAGGGCTCAGATTTGCTGTTCACGGGTTACTATGGATCACAGTTGACAGCACCTAACACCACCACTACCACCACAGTCAAATGCCTTTGCAAAGTCAATAAAAACAAATCAAGAACTCAAGAGATGTTCCATTGGGAACATTTAGTGTCAAAGAATGCTAAAGAGAATGCTATAAAGAATGGCCTAAAACAGGTACACTTTAGTCTAATGAGAATGTTAAAGAAAAAAAATATATCCATTTAAAGATGACAGTATCCCTGACTCAAAAGCCACAGTATTTTCAACTGCTTCATATGCATGTGAAATTTAGAAAATAAGGAAGTCTGAAGACGAATTGATGACTTTGCTTTTGAGTTGTGATGCAGGTGAACAATATCCTGTATTCTACAGTCTGACCAAAGTGTGCAACCAAGGTGCTCCTTACAGGAAGGGGCTGGAAATTTCATCTCATGTATGTTGGACATACTAAGCTGAGAAGGGCACAGACAGTTAGCTGAGAAAAGTTGAGGGTCAGAGAGAGAGAGGAAGATCCTCAAGGAGAACGGGTGCAGTGACAGCTGCAGCAATGGGTGTGAGCAGCGTACGAGCAGGGAGGATGGTATACGACAGGGCCAAGTTCAGCTCTACTGTTCATAAGGTCGCCCCGTTGTTGAGGAGGACGACTGAGTCCGTGCCAACCCAGAGCTGACCCTCTAGCAGATTTTCAGAGGCAGAAAATTGCACGGGAGGAGAGTGGCCATCTCTCTCTTGTGGAGCAACTGGCAGACTTAAACCACGTCTTTGGAATGACAGCATAAACTGTACCACTAAGCTAATAGTGCTCCCTAAGGTAGTGTAACATTAACATGTAACAATAACAACAACATGCACAACAGGAACTTCATTGAAACAGACTAGGAGGTAAGATACTTCTAGAATTCATCCAATGGAAATCTTAATGGATCACAAAGGTTCACTTTGTTGTTCATGTATGTGCTTTGAGTAACAGCAAATTGAGAGAAGTCAACAGAAAGCAAGCAGGGGAAGGAGGGAAAGCGATTAGAAAAGAACCTACACAAGGCTTCTGAAGTACTGATGATATAATATTTCTGAAGCTAGGAGGTGAGTACTCAGATAGATATACTCTAACATACACACATATTATGTCAACAGTGTATCGATACATTTACTTGTCATAATCCTTGACAATTTGTTATGTAGTTTTAACCTAAAAAATTCAGTTAATTTTTCATTATGCAGAATATAAAAAAAATTTTATACCGTGGATGATGCGAATGGTTGTTTTAAGTCAGGCCCTGAGTCATGGCAACCCTAAGTTAGCCCTTTGTGACCCATTTCTGTGCTGTAATATGGATCCACACCACACATCGACTCTCAAGCACTCCTGGGAGCCTTGGTTCACTGAGAATTCAGTAAAGCTAAAAATTGAGTTGAAAGGAGGAAAAGCAGGTAGGCAAGAGGATCTAAACAAGTTAGCACAAAGCCCTTGTTATGCCAAAGAGAGGGAGCAGGAATGGCCCTGACACAGACCCTGCCAAGTAGAGAAGGTAGCCTGGGGTAATAATGAATATAGAGTTCTGCCATTTGACTTTTATATAGTTAAAATTCTAAGACTGGCCAAATAGGTTTCAAAAGCAAGCCTTTTATAAGTTTTATGTGGTGAAATCACAGGGTTGCACAATTTGGTGGGTGGAGGGAAGGGGTAAAGGAAATAGGAATGGTCTAACAGGGACCTGAAAAGACAGAGTTCAATGGTGCACATAGTCCAGTGGTGATTAATTTATGAAATATAATGAACGGGACTGATTGAATGAAACATAATGTGAAAGAAGAATTGTGTGAAACACAATGTATACAAATTTTGTAAGCAAACCTATAAAAAATAAAAAAATTTTTAAAGAGATTTCAGGTTAAAAGGGTTTATGTGTACTTGAAACATTACTAGAGATGAAATAGATTTGTAAAGATGGAAGAGTTAATCACTCAGAATCAGTATCAAATGTTTAACATATTATTTTATGCTTTAGCACATTTATGCTCACCAAGGTCCAAGGTGATAGATTTGAAAAAAGATTCCTATAATCACAAAGCTAAGGAGCCATGGTGGTGCAGATTCAGAGCTCAGCTTATTGTTGTCGACTCCCTTTAAGTCGAGCACGACTCATAATGACCCTATGAACAAAAGCCCTGAAGCCCCTCTACAACTATCGACATTTATCAAAGTCCATAGAGTTTCTGGAAGCATGTTGTTTAGGAAGTGGATGCCACACTCCTGCTTCCAAATCTGTCATAGTATGTTACTGTTGTTATGTGCCATTGAGTTGCCTGCAAGGTATAGTGACCCTATGCCAGTCTCACTTATTCCGACACACCAACTTCCACTGCCCCAGTTACTTTATGAATCCATCTCATCCTGGGTCTTCCTCTCCTGTGCTGTCCCTCCACCCTTCTGAGCATGATGTCCTTCTCTAAGGACCGATCTCTCCTGGCCACATGCCCGAAGTGAGGCGGAGCTTCAAAATCCAACTTCCAAAGAGAAATTTGGTTTCGCCTTCTCCAAAACATACATATTTGTTTTCTTTTTTTATAAAATTTTTATTTTCTACTGGTTTACTTAGTTTGTATACATTTTTTTTCCACACCAGACCTTTCCCCTTTCCTTTTCCTACCCCTCTCTCCACCCATCAAATTTTGCGACCCTATGATTAAGCCCTTCACCCAAACCTCTCTGCTACTGCCCCCCCCATCCTCATACATGTTCTAATTAATGGTTTTCTACACTATTTGTCCTTATGAGATTTAGCTAGTTCACTTAGCATAATGCTCTCCAGTCCTTCCCAAGCTAGGTAGTAATCTACAAAAACAAGATTCCTGCATGCTGCATTGTATCCCACCATATGCGTGTACTAAAATGTCTCAATCCATTCCACTGTGATTGGACATCTGTACTGTTCCACGTTTTTGCTATGGTGAATAACGCTGCTATGAACATTGGTGTACAAGTCTCCTTTTGAGCCTCAGTTCTCATTTTCTTAAAGTATATTCCAAGCAGTAGAATAGCTGGATCATATGGAATTTCCATGTTCAGCTTTTTGAGGAAAGGCCAAACTGCCTTCTAGAGTGGCTGTACCATTTTACAATCCCACCAACAATGTACAAGAGTTCCTATTTCGCCACATTCTCTTCAACGTTCATCACTGGCTGCCCTGCGACACTTTGCCACTGCTACTGGCATCAGATGGTGTCTCATTGTGGTTTTGATTTGCATATCTCTTTTGTCAGTGATTTGGAACATTTCTTTACGTCTGTTGGCCATTTGAATTCCTTCCTCTGTGAGGTCTTTCCATGTCTCTTGCCCATTTTGAAGTTGGATAATCAGTCTTTTTCTTCTGGAGGCCTACAAGTATTTTGTAAACTTTTGTTAGTAGACCCCTGTCTGAGATGCATTGCTAAATGTTTGTTCCCAGTCAGTAGGTTTTCTTTTCACCCTGTTGGAAAAAGTTTTTGATGAGCACAGAGATTTAATCTGTAGAAGGTCCCATTCATCAGTCTTCAGATTGTGCATTCCCAGCTGTATTTGGCAGTCTCTTTATACCACAGACTAGGTCCTCTAAGCTTGATCTTAGTTTTTCTCTTAAGAATTTTATGGCTTTGGGCTGTACTTACCTGTTTTCCTGAAAGTTCATGGTCTATGTTCTAGACTCTTGTCCAGTACCACAACTCAAAGGGATCAATTCCTCTTCTGTCATCCTTAGTCACTGTCCAGTTCTCTGATGCATAGCATGTAAATGCAAAGACCATGGGCCGGATCAGGTGCACCGTAGTCTCCAAACTGACATTGCTGCTTCTTAGTACTCTGGGGAAGTCTCTGACAACAGATTTTAACAGTGTAATTCATCTTTTGATTTTTTAATTGCTGGGACCAAGAGCATTGATTGTGAAGCTGAGTTAACTGAAATTGTTAACAACCTCAATCTCTTCTCCATCATGGTGCTGCCAGCTGGCCCTGTGGTAAAAAATTTTGTCTTCTTGATGTTGAGCTTGCATCCATATTGAAAGCTGCAATCCTTGACCTTCACAGCAAATGCTTCAGGTCCTCCTCAGTTTCAGTAAGCAAGGTCGTTTATGAGTCTTCCTCCAATCCAGATGCTACATTCTTCCTCATAAAGTCCAGTTTTCTGAATGATCTGTTCTGCGTATAGATTGAAAAGATATGAAGACAGGACACATCCCTGATGCACTCCTTTCCTAATTCTAACAAGGCAGTGTTCCCTTGCTATGTTCTGACGACTACCTCCTGGTCCAAGTATAGGTTTCACATAAGCACAATCAGATGTGGTGGGATTCCCGTTCTTCTGAGTTAGTCAGAGTTTGTTGTGATACACACATTCAAATATCTTTGCACTGTCAGTGAAACAAAGATAGGCATTGTTCTGGTACTCTCTGCTTTCAGACAAGATCCACCTGGCACTGGCAATATAGTTTCTGGTGCCATGGCTTCTTCAAAACCCTGCCTGTATTTCTGGTAGTTCTCTGCCAATGTCTTGTTGTAGTCATTTTGGATAATCTTCAGCAGGATTTTGCTTGTGTGTGTTATCAGTGATACTGTTCAATAATTTCCACACTCTGTAGGGTCACCTTTTTTAAAAATGAGAACAAATATGGATCTCTTCCAGTTAGGTGGCCAGAAAGTTGACCTCTATATTTTCTGGCACAAATTGGTGAGAATGTCCAGGCTGTCTGAACATAATTTAATAAAATTTCACTATGTGTTATGCTTACAAAAGAAGAGATAACAGTTTACTTCTCTCCCATCTCCCCTGTGCTGTCTAGACAATTCTTACTCATGAGGTTGGAATGTGAGCACCAGGACCCTCCACTGGCTTTCAGAGACTGTAAATCTTAATTGCAGGAGATGACCTCATCTTTTGCCTGAGGAGTGGCTGTGGGTTCAAATTGTCTACCTTTTGGTGAGCAGCATAATACTTAATTTACTACCATGGCTCCTTCAAAGGTCCAAAGGGAGTTCATCATTGAGTTGACTAAGTCTTAACTACTTACCTGGATATGTGACATCAGAGTGTTTTCCCAATTCACTATTAATATTTTACATATTCATTTTCTTTTTGATAAGGATTCTGAGTGATGATTAATGGAGAAGTTTTCAAAATAGAAAACTAGGAACATGGAAAAGTTAATTCTTTTTTAATTTAGCAAAGGCTTACTTAAAGCCAAAACTGCACTATGCCACTTGTTGCTTGCATCACTGAGTTTACTTACTCATCTATAAAAAGTGAGAACATGGAGAGAATTAAAACAAGGCGCAAGGGATATAAAGAGCACAGCATTATGTATGGCAGAAAACATTAATTTCCTTTAAATTAATAATTAATAACACTTTAAAGTGTTAACATTCTTGAGTGAACATTCAAAATCAAGGTATAGTTGTGGTTTGTTTGTTTTTTTCCTTTCTCTTTTCTATCTGTACTTTAAATAAAATCAGCCCCATACCCCATATAATTTGCTATTCCTTTTTTTAGGGATAAAAGTATTTGAATTATATATTACAGTACAGCTAATGGGATGAGTCCTGCAGTTTTCCAATCCTCTAAACCCCGCCCCCGCCAATGTGCCCAGCAAGTTACAACCATTACAGCAAATGGTCTGCTATTGTGCATCTCTTCTTTGCCTTTTGTCTTGCCCAGTACCAGGCCATTACAGCAAACAGCTGGCTTATGCTCTAGGAATAGCAATGATGAGGCAGCTGGCGTTAATGACTTTACATTCAACCATACAAACCCACAAAATTACAAGAGAAATAATCACTTAGTGGCAGGCACCAACAGAGATAATTGAGGGAAATGCAGTCACCACTGAATGCTAAGAAAGTTAAAATGAATATATGCATTTTAACAAGAATTGACAATGAGTAAGTGTTTCAACCTTCCTCAAATGTTAATAATATTGTCTTTTTTCCCCCCTCTACATGTAATTTTCCTTTGGGATAGAATTTTGATTATGTATCTAAAGGTTAACTGCAACAAATGGCTTACAATAGATGTAGAGTGAGGAAGAATTATTTACAACTGCATCTCAGATATATTAAAATGTTTAATGCCTATAACGTTTTAAATCAGTACTTTATTTTTCAATTCAGTTCTTTTAAGAACATCAAACTTCATTATCAATGAGAGATCCGCTTACAACTTTGATCCATTCCCTCACCTGTTCTTTCAACTTAAGTCAAAGACACTGATTACTCGGGAATTTTCCTGGTGTTAAAATATCTTTTAAAAGGAAAATCATAATTCTCATACAAATATTAAATAAACGTGCATCCAAAATATTATTTAACTCATTAACTAATGAAGGAACCAGTAAGATATTACAACTGGTTCATAAAGTAGATCAGGAAATGCTGGGTTTTTTAAAAAGCAATGCTGGACAACATCCACAGGGCAATAATTAATCGAATCTTCAAAGAACACAGTTTGCATTTTATAGATAATATTAATCTGAATTAAAATCAGTATTCACCAGTGTCTACATTCTACAAGTTCAGTAGCTCAAAGACAACCCCAGACTCCCAAGAAATATTTTTTAAAAGAAAAAGATTTAAAATCCATTTACTAAAAAGAATAAATTAAAATAATTTTTTTTCATGTATTTTATTCTTTTTTGTGTGTACTGTCAAATCAGATCAACTGATACAGGAGATTGACCCTCCTTTTCCAGCAGAGCACCTGGTGAATTCGAACGACAAACCTCTGGGATTACAGTACAGCTTCTTGCCACTAGGTCACCAGAGCTCCCTTCAAATTAAAATAATTTTTTAAAAAAAATTTGTTCTGAGCCTGGTTTTAGGTAGGTGTGATGGCCCTTGAGTGAGAAGTCCCTGGCACGTGTAGGGAACAGAGGGGAAACCAGTAACTGGAGCAACAGGATGAGGGAGTGTTGAGGGTGGTAGAAAATGAGGTTGTATATGCCGGTAGGGTCCAGGTCACTTGGAGTTCTGAACATCATGCTGATGGAGAAGATCAGAACAGCAAGGAACCTGATAAGGGTCAGGGGGTGGTGGTGGTGAAGAGAAATAACTTAAGAATCTAATAGCAAAGCAAAGGAACTGATTTATGGTCAGAGACAGGGAGGAGAGCAGTAACTTTAGAAGGTGGAAGGAGATGGAAGAAGACGGGCTCAGGTTCAGGGAGATCCGTACGTCTTGTGGTAGGAAGATGGTAAGTTCTCTCATGACTTCTATTTTCTTAATTAAGCGTAACTCTAAGCCATCAGTTGAGTGAGGGTGTGGGACACGGTATAAGATGCTGCAAAAGAAAGAAAAAGGTATAAATCAGTCATCTCAGGAAGCAGGTAAGAGAATCGACCTTAGAAAGACCAGAGGGTTTGGGGCCATGTCAAGTGCCAATCTGAGGTTGAGATCATGAGTATTAAGTGTGACCAGTCAGCCTGGTTACATAATTTTCTAAGTAATGACCAGCTGTTCAGTACAGGCACAAAGGAGGTGAACAAGAGGGTTCATCTTGGGATGGGGTTTTGCTAGGTCAACCATGTCTGCAGATTAGGCCAACAATGAATGAATGCCCCTAAGGGAGAACTGTTTCGACAGAACGGGTGTAGAAGCCAGTTTGTAGTGAGTTATGAATGAAATGAAATTTTGCAGCAGAAAATTGTCACTCTAAAAGTTGCTTTAAAGAGAAGTTAGACAGGATGATAGTTAGAGGGGCACACCAGGTCATAGTCTGTTTTATGTGTTAAGGGGAAAGGTTGCTGTTGTTGTCATCCAGCCAACTCCCACCTTACGATCGGCTTGCGAAGAACAGAATAAACACTGTTCAGTCCGTGCAACCTGATCTAAGCTCTTTCCAACCCGAGGGGCTCATCTTCCAGCATGCCTGACTGACTGACTGATGATGGAAAGAGCTTGGTGATTTAAAATTCTTCCAATGAAAACCTTAGGAGTAAACGGGTAAGGAGTTGTGCTGCCAACCCAAAAGCAAGTGGTTTGAACCCACCAGCAGCTCCAGGAAAGAAAAATGGCATTCTCCTCACATGCACTTTACAACCTGCTGGACGACAAGCTATGAGTCACTTCCACTTGATGGTAAGTAACAACAAGATTATGGGACAGGAAGAGATGAAAGACCTGGGAGAGCAAAAGTCTAACGAAACAGTGAAACCTGTGAGAACAGGAAAGGTCTGCCTTTTTCTAAGTCTCTCTCCTAAGTTTTCTGCCTCTGACAGGATACAGTCCTACGACTTTCCCATTGCTTGTTTCAGTGAAAATCATTTGAGTTTTCCTTCTTTGGCAGTTTCCACCTTATCAAAGTTTTGGCTTTCACAGGTTTTACTATAATAAGCCAGACTTCAAGGAGACAGATGGATCTAAACCCAGGAGCACAAGTTTTCCTTGGACAGGAAACAGAGTACCTTAATCAGGTGCTGTCAACTTGATTCCAGTTCAAAGTGAAATCACGTATTACAGAAGACTGTGCTCTTATAGTTTTCGAAACTGTGACTGTTTGGAAGCAGATTGCCAGGCCTTTCTTCTGAGGCACCTTTGGGTGGGCTCGAACTGTCAACTTCAGCAACAGTGAGCACTAGAATGCTAACTGCTTGTGCCATTCAGGACTCCAAGGAAGGCTAAAGATGCAGGTAAGTAGGAAATTTTAATACTGATTTTAAAAAGCAGAACCAAAACCCACTGCAAGCAGTCACTTCGGACACCTAGTGATCCTCTGCGATGGAGCAGGAACTGCCTCCGGGGTTTCCAAGGCTGTAAACTTTACAGCAGGACTGTCCTATCCTTCTCCTACAAGATGGCTAGGGGTTCAAACTACACATCTTTTAGTCAGCAGCCAAGTAATCAATACCACACTATCAGGACTTGTTGATTCAAAGAATACACGAGGCAAGGGAGGGGGAAGGGAAATCCAAAATAGAACTCCTTAACACGCTGCTGTCAAATCAAGTCCGATTCACATCAACTCTCTATCGGGTTTTGGAGCCTGTAGATCATTATGGCAGGAGACTGCTTCTCTCCATCACAGCAGCTGGGGGAAGTGAATTGCTGCCATTATTAGCAGCCCTACGTGGTATAAATTATGATACCAGGGCTCCGTGATAACATTTGCTGTTGTTGTCAGGTGCCATCGAGCCAAGTACTGCTCAGAATGACCCTATGGAGAACAGATCCGAATCCTGTCTATCCTGTGCCATCCTCAACATCTCTGATGTACTTGAGCGCAATGCTGCAGTCACCATGTCAATCCAGCTTTTTGAGGGGTCTTCCTTTCTTTTCCTGACCCTCCTCCTTTCCAAGCATGCTGTCACTTTCCAAGGACTAGCCTCCTCTAGCAACATGTCCAGAGTATTAAAGACAAAACTGTGCCACCCTTGCCTCCAAGGAGCACTCTGGTTGCACCTTCTCTCTAAGACGTATCTGCTCACTCTTTTGGTAGTCCGTGGGATGTTCAGTGCTCTTCTCCAACACCACAACTCAAAGGCATCAATTCTTCTTCTGTCATCCTTATTCACTGTCCAGCTGTTATATGCATAGCAAATGACTGGAAAGGCAAGTGGCAGAGTCGAAGTTTAAACTCGGGCTGATCTTAGATCTCTAGTCTTTATACTAAATCAAGGCAAGTAGATGAAGAAATAAAGGTTGTGAAGGTCATGCCTAATAGTCACTATTTTCTTTTCCATTCTGAAGACAAGATCAGCTGGAAAAGAGTCTTGGAGTAGCAGAACTAGAATAGTCCTGTAGGAGAAGGGGAAAGGAAGTCCCCTCTGGGGGCCTTCCATGTGGTGTTCAGGTGCTAGCTGTACTTAAGACACCACACTATAGATAGATATCAATTCGCAGAGCTGAGTGCTCCGTCTATGCTCTGGAAATAGTTCTTAGCAGCCTAGGGAGACATTCAAATGAAGGCAATTATTAAAAAATAGTCGAAGAGGACCCTGTGATAGACGTGTTGTTGATGCTGTCAAGTTAATTCTGATTCACTGTGACCCTGGATGGCAGAGAAGACCCACCCCACTGGGTCTCCTAGGCTTTCTATAATCTTTATAGGAACACATCACCAGGTCTTTTCTCTTGCAGAGCTAGCAGTAGGTTTGAACCACCAACCTTTCAATTAGCAGCCAATCACTGAATATATCACAAGTGTTCTTTTTAATAGAAAGTACACAGAGGGATTTATAGGATTTTAAATAAGGCAATTCTCTCACCTAAACTTGAGGTAAAAGGTAGAAATGTGGGGACCAGGCAGAGAAGGAAATGGCCATAAGAGCTGGCTGGTAGAGTGGGAAGAGTTAAAACTAATAAGTTCAACAAGATCAAGGAAAACAGAAGGTAGGGTACTGTTGTAGCAATACAAAAACCAAATATTTATTCATTGTCAACATAGTGCGCTGCAGGTAAGGGAAAACGGGGTGGAGTGAGGGAACACATTAAAAACCAACCCTGAAATATTCCTGCCTGGGTTTATCTCATCAACGAAGCATACGCACTTCCTGAAGGCAGAGAGCATGCTTAATATGCCTACCACAGGTCTCTGCTTAAAATATAAGAGTAGAATTGAAGAATCTATCTCTTATATTAAGAAAAGTTCTGTAAAATCTAGGGTACGGTAGAACAAATCAGGCTTATAGGAAGTTGGTCCACAGAGTACTTAAAAAGAATCTGTTACCACTTAAAAATCAGAAGATTTCACACAAAGTACGAGATTGTAGCTTGATTCCCTGGGAATAGTTCTTATTGTTTTCAGGTGGCAGTGAGTTGAGTATGACTCATAGTGCCCCTATAAACAACAGATCTGAACCCTCTCCCACCTTGTACCATCCTCATCATCATTTCAGACATACTTGAGCCCACTGCTGCCATCCTGTGTCAATGCATGTGGTTGAGGGTCTTCCTCTCTTTTGACTACCTGTTACCTTTCCAAGCATGATGGACCTTTCAAGGCACAACCTAACAACATGAGAACAGCGCATGTTTTAAAATCAAGAAAGGTGTGCATCCGGGCTCAGCAAATCATCTGAGAAGCTGGAGTCTACGAAGAAGAATGTAACATCAGGATGAGAGGAAGACTCATCAACAACCTGCATTAAGCAGATGACACGACTTGCTGAAAGTGAGAAGGATTTGAAGTGCTTGCTGCAGACGATCTAAAACGACAGCCTTCAATATGGACTACATCTCAACATCAAGAAAATGAAAATTCTCACTCCGGAATTGTCATCATGATAGATGGAGAAAAGACTGAAATTTTCAATGATTTCATCTAATTTGAATCCATAATCAACAGTAGTAGTCAGATAATCAGGAGATGCACCGTATTGGGAAGATGTGTCATCAGGGATTTGCCCACATTGTTAAGGGGCAGTGATGTCAGTTTGACTACTAAAGTATACCTGATTCAGGCCATGATCTTTTCACTCACTTGCTATGAATCTGTGAGCTGAACAATGAATATGGATTACAGAAGAACTGATGCCTTGATTTACAGTGTTGGTGAAGAGCACTGCATATCCCATGGACTGCCAAAAGAACAGATACATCTTAGATAAACTGCAGCCAGGTGCTCCTTGGAGGCAACGATTACAAAACTTAGTCTCACTTTGCGCATGCCATTAGGAACGGCTATTCCTTGGATTTAGAACTGTTGTACACAGGGTCCCCGTGAGTCGCAGGCAACTCACTGGCAAATAACAACATTCCTTGGAAAGGGACATCATGCTTAGAATAGTTCTTATCAGCTTTGAAAAAGCAGAACTTAGGCACCAGATCCCTCTTTCCATACGCTGTTGTTGTTGTCTGCCAGAGGACTGCCAGGAAGCAACTGGTGGATTTGAACCATGTGCCTTTTGGATTGCAGCACAGCTTTCTACCACTTGGCCACCAGATATTTAACTGTATTTCCATATAGCTAAAGATAAATGGGAGCTTTGGTGGCCTGACAAGTAAAGATTTGCACTGCTAATCCAAAGACAGGAGTTCAAATACTCCAGCTTCTCCACGGGAGGAAAAAGGGTAATCTCTCAAGCAATTTACAGCCTCTGAAAATCCACTGGAGGGTCGGCTATGAGTTGGTTCTGATTTGACGGCACATAACAACAGAGTAAGTTCTGGCAGGTATGTATGATCAGCAGACCACTAGTTAGAGAATTCTAGTTTATTCTTTGGTTCCTTGTTTAAAGCATCCTTTGTTATTTAGGGGAGCCCTGGTGGCCTATTGGATAGAAAGCTGGACTGCAAACTAAAGGCAGATGTTCAAGTCCACCAGCTGCTTCTCAGGAGAAAGAT